GATGTAGGGGTTGGTCCACTACTGACAAATTATCAAGAGTAGTCTAAGTAGGAGATGCGTGGGTTGGTCCACTATTGACTTTGAAATATGGTGGTTGAAGTTCTCTACTTACCTACTGCATATGCAGTGATAATGTATACAGTCAAAAAGGACAGGATATATTTTCTTTTAATCTGTAAATAGCAGCACATCCATGTAAGATGCCTATTTAGTGCATTCAACAACACAATCAGTGACTATTCTTATTTCATGAAAGCAGAATAAGTGCCATAGTATGGCTCAAGGTTTCATTGATCATTCTCAAGGCACAAACAGTGCATCTAGTCCTGCACTTATACGTGCTGCAAAGTTTGACGAGAACAAAATTGGAATCTCTGCTACAGGGCCTGTCACTGAACAGACACAAGAGCCAAACAGAACTTCCAGTGTGAAAGAAAGCAGTTTTCTGTCTGAATTGACAAACAGGGCCGCAACACTTTGTATGCAACCAAGCACATTTCCGTTTGGTGGACATACTAGCATAGCATCGCTAAAGTCAATACTGGCACCTGATGCTGGCTCGTTGGAACTGAAATCTCAGCCTCAATGTCCATCAAACAGATTGAATATGGCTAATTATGCTGTTACAAATGACAAGCTAAAAGGTCAAGAGGTTTCTACAGAAAGTGGTACGCTCAGCATCTCCAGTGTCTATTCTCAAAGGTAAGAATTCTCTGGTCTGTGTTGTTCTAGCTCATGCATCACATAATTTTGTACTTCGTTTTATCCCTTCACTACACATAATTTTGCACTCTAATTAAAACCTATCATCATCTTCTGAATATTGTATTATCTGTGCTTTCGTTTCCACTGTATATACTCACATTACTGGTGACTTGACTAAGAGTATATTTTGGTGTTTGGCAGATTGATGAACACACTGAAACAAGCATTGCAGAGTTCCGGAGTAGACTTGTCACAAGCCAACATGTCAGTGCAAATTGATCTCGCCAAAAGAGCTGATGATAGATCAAATGCTTCAACATCCAATTTTAAGGTACCCGGGATTCTTTTAATTCCAGTAATATTCTAGTACTTAAGCAGAAGTAATTAACAACCTTAACTTTGTCACAATTCTCAGGGTGACAACATTTCCTCAAGAAATCAACCAACTCCACTATTCATTGATACAAGCACAAGAGAGGAGTCTGTCCATGCCTTCAAACGGCTCAAAACAAGTTAAAACCAAATTTAACACACAAAAGTTTCTTTTGCAATTTATTCAACTTAAAAAATTTCCTTCCCCTTCTGATTCTGAAGGGATATTCATGTATACATCTGGTATAGAAAATCTCCCCTTATCAGATCATAAGCTACTGTAAATGTAATTCATTTTTTTTTCCTTTTCGATTGTTTGGCTGCACAGAATTCGATATTTATTACTTGTAGTGAACTATCAAGAAATCATGTATCACTATTGAGGCTTCCATGCTCATGTTGAGAAGCTGCTTTTTAATACAATTCTTCCATTTATTTCATCTGAAGTGTCTTGTAGAGTAGCTTTATATATGGCCTATCCATGTAATGTAAAGTATTTAGATTTGTGTAATCATTTCTTCTTCTTTTTTTCGTTTTATCTTATATTTTTGTTGCTATAAACTTGCACCAGAGGAAGGGGTGGATTTTGGAACAGTGGCTACTGTTTTTCGTATGTCCATATATACTCTGTGTTTACATCCGACCAAATAAATACAAGACATGTATCGTTTATTTTCACATTTTACTCTTAGCCATGGTTAAAGAATATGCAATTTTTACTAGTTGTCTTTTTCGGAATATTTGTTTTGAACAAAGATCCACTTTTTATTTTTCGTGTAACTTAAAAAAATCTTTTAAATCATGGTCTAAAGATCATTATAGATCAAATTGAAGATCTTATGAGAAAATTAGACTACAGTTTAAATTGTTAGACGATTATCTAATGTTACATATGTAAGGTTGAGAAATATGTGAACATTGATTATATTTTCACAATTGTTACAAATATGGTCAAAAACTAAATGATGGCTTATAAAAGAAAACGGGCAATTTTTACATATAGCAAATAAAAAATTTATATTTGTATGCTATAGCAAAGTTTGCATAATTGCGCTCCATAGCAAATATAGAAATTGTATAATTCGCTATACATATACACTTGAAGCAAATTGTATAAAACAAGAAAGAAAAAGACACTTACGCAGAGAACTGTATAAAAACGAATTGTATTACTATAAGTGTATCAAACGATTATATACAATTTAAATTTGTATAAAATTAGAAAAAGAGAAAGACAAAAGAGACTTGACAAGGAATATACAATTGAATCGAATTGTATAAAACGATAAAGAGAGAAATTAGATACAATTTGAAAATTGTATAAAACGAGAGCGAGAGATTGGAGGAGAGTGGCGAGCGAGATATTTGGGAGAGAGGCACCTGACAATTTTTTTGCAAAACGTTTGCTATGGAGTACAATTAAATCAAACCCTAACTACTCTATTTATTTTAGGTTATTATTTGCTATTATATACAATTTTCCCAAAGAAAATTTGTGTAAATCAACGCAATCTATTTTACTTGTTCTTTTTCTGCCCATTATAAGCAAGCCCAATTCTATCTAATACAAGTTATAATTAGCCCAACATTTTTTCTGCTTGCCAATTCCCTTCTCCATTTTTAAAAAAGAAGAAATGATAATAAATGATAACAATAGTAAGAGAAATTTCTTTTTAAAAAAGTAAAATAGGATGGGTTCCTGAAATTTATATTAATTTTTTCTTCCCAAATTTATATTAATTTATTCTATCAAATAATATGTACATAATTAATACGAAAACATCATTATCATGTTCGGTGATGACTCGTTATCAATTATATGTCATAATTACCTCTAATATCTTCAATTGATTTAAGTTCTATATGTATATATATATATATATTGATAAGTTTTCTTTCTTGATTCACACGTCATTTATTTAACAAGACAATCCATTTTTGTTATATATTTGACGTACACACAAAAAAAAATTAACATATGACAAATTTAGAAGATCGAAATGAGCAAATATATATTTAAGGGACTATTAAAACCTTACTTAATAAAGTGTCATTTTTTGCTTTTTTATTATTTTTCTCGTTATTTTGCCTTTTCACTTTCTCTTATTCTAAATTGAAAAATGAAATAATTGCAGCTATAAAATGTGAGGGTATATCTAGATTCATGCTTGCATTGATTAATAAGTAGACTCAAACATAAAGAGTTGAATGCACTCAGCAATTGAAAATTACTTTATCCGTTTTATTTTATTTGATCCTTTATTAAAAATATAAAAAAAAAATTATTTGTTCATATAACAAATTACGAAAAATTAATATTTTTAAAATATTATTTTTATAATTAAATACATGCATGCAGTATTGTTTAATTTTTAAGCAAATTAATAAAATATACTTTTGATAAAATATTTTTCTTTTAAAAAAAATAGAAAATGAAACAGAGTGAGTATGAAGGAAAATTAAATTCTCTTCATCATCAATTAAGATTCCTGCCTCGAGGTTTGCTTTTATTTTGGATCCTTCAATGATGATAAGATTAATAACACTTAAATAATTGTTACTCTTTCTTGGGATTGCCTTTCGATTTTTTAAGTACGACAATTTCTGGGAAGATCTCAATAATTAATTTACGTTGTTCTTATTTATATGTTGTCTTTATTCAAAATAAATAAGTAATTTTTAATAATTTTTCGTTCAACTTTAATTGTCATAATTTTATTTTATAATGTATTTTTTAATTATATTAATATGTAAAAAATTGCAATTTATAGCATTTTCATATGGATTTTGAGTATCTAAATTTTTTGTTTAGAATATCAAATTAATGTAACCTAATTTAATTTTGAAAATTAATCAAAATGACTTTTGAAAAGCTAATGTGATAATTAAAAGATGACAGATGGAGTACTCGTTTGTTATTTCACAAGATCAATTATTCTTATTATTTTATTATTTGAAAGTTATTAACCTTGAAAATATATATTTTGCAACATAGAAAAACTAAGTAATTAATTAATGTTTATTTATTGAAAATTTAAATTCAAAAATACACTAAATAAAAGTATAATAGTAAACTTACTTAATTTTTTGAGAAATAAAATAATTAAAATAAAACAGGGAGTACGACCATATAGGACATTTTAAACTTGTATTATCGCCGTTTCTCTTATTAATTTTTTAATCCTTTGTGTTTAACTGATAGTAGTAGGGAGGATTAAATTTTGATTCACAAATTTCATTTTCTCATTCTTTGGTATTTGAAATTTGGTTGAATAGATCCACTGCCAGTTGAAGATTAAGCAAATAATGACCTTTTTAATAATTAGCACTAAAGCATTAGTGTTTGAAGGAATATTTAAGTGCTAACATCAGGATAATTAATAATAATTTAGTGGAGATTAAGTACTGAAAGTTGCTTTGCTTTGGTGTTTACGAATTAGTGCCCTCTCAAATATTAAAATTATCTACCTCTCTCTCTCTCTCTCTTTTTTTTTTTTTTAATTATTATTACTATTATTATATGAATACTAGATACTCTATTTTTGTTTTTCTTCAAGAAAATAAAATTATCATCCACCCTACATGTTAAATTATTAATCATAATGATTACTCATTTGACGACAAATATTAAAAGAGGAAAAAGAAAAAAAAACAAACGTCTTTTTATCTGGTTGCCTTTTGTGTTCTTTCGACCTTTTTTCTTTTAATGCCAATGGGTTGTAAAGTGCTATTATTAAAATAATCGTACTCTTATTTCAGCCATAAAATTAAACAGTCTATTTAAGGTTAAAATAATTGCACTTCTATTAAAATAATAATTCAAAGCTTTGAACTTTCTAGTATCCGAATCAGCTTGTATATATTTTGTCTAATTATATATGATCACTAATTATGTCAATGTGACATTATACACACAAAGATCATGAGAGAAGGAGTGAATAACCTTAACCATATCGTTAAATATAACACACAATAACATCTCAACAAGTGGAGTCTGACTAGAGTAATATTTACGTAGAAAAGAATGGAGGAGACTGAGTGAGTCAACTAGTGTGGTATTGAGTGGAACTTTAAATATGACAAATCCAAAAGTCCTGGCAAAACAAATCTATATTGTACCCTTCTGTGTATACTGCCATTGATAATATATCCTTGCAATGGCAGGACAGTTTTCTATACATGTATTCAATTATTGAGTTTCTGAAGGAAAAAAAGAAGAACATTTTAATATAAACCCTTTTCCAAATGCTTCTGAGGATCTCAGGATTTCAAGTGTATCGCGCCGCAACAGTCGTCCTCAGAAGCAAATTGCAGCACAATGTTTTCGAGTGTTGACAAGTATGTCCTCCAAATATGTCAGTGCGCGGAAGTACTTCTCTATAATGCAATGTTACCACCATCATAATTTACATGCTGCTTAAAGTTCATCTTCATAAGATGGTTTTAAGCACTCCCATGGGTTGGAGTAAAAATAATCCTCCTCTTTAGGTCTGTCTTGAATGACCAATCTCTTTGTTGGGTTGCCCATACGTTCAGAGTGAGCTTCCTTAACAGCGGTAGAGAACTCATCCCATGTCAATGATCCAGCATTATGTTGGTCTATTAAATCCACCAGATGCTTTCTGTCTAACAAGATAGTTTTCTTGTATCCAAGATATCTGCGTGGAATGGTGGACATTCAGATTAAATGAAATTTGTACCAAAACCACCAAACCAACTGTACACCATGTGTAATGTGCATATAGAAAGAATGTGAGGTGTGACACCACAGGGAAATTCTTTCATGGCTCTTAAAATTTTGCAAATTAAATCTCTAAAAGCAACGAACAACTGTACAGAATATGAAGTCGTCGTTCCAATATGCTAACCACGATTTATCAAAAGAGAGTACCTGCGATGTCCTTCAACAACTTTGGCCATGTTTCCATCATATGTAGGAACAAAGATATCGCTCTCCAAGGAAACAAGATAGTCTAATGCTGCCATTTGGGAGGAGTGATTTTGAAAGAACCTCAGCTCAGAGGGCTCGAGTAGTGTCTCCTTCCTTACCTATTAGAAAATAAAGCCGGTGCAAATGGTGAGTCTGCAATATTCAGCCAGCATAAGAATTAACTAGAACTTTCTAACTACCAAATTAGGATAAGCTGCAGCAAGACTAGCCATTCTCCTTTCTCCGCCATAAATCTCTCCAGCCGCAATGTACACTTGAATACTAGGATCAATGTTCAATGCCCTTAAAGTAAGAGCAGTTTCCTCAGGTGTCAAAGGACACAGACCATCTCTTCTTTTCAAATCTGAATTTATGATTTTTTCTTTCCACCATGGATAAGCATATCTAAAGGAAAAGTTGTTAATTAATCAGCCAATGAACAAAGGATGGTTAAAGCCACCAAGGAATACAAGGATTTCACTTCACCTCATTCTTGTTAACTCTTCCACCTCTTCCTGCTTGCATCCCTGAGTACAGCCAGAGAAAGCTAACATATCCATTTCGTATCTCAGGTGCAGAACCATAAATGGACCCTCTTGCCTAAGTATTCTGACAACCTTTCTACCCAACTCTTCAATTTGAGGGGTGAATTTCAATGCACCAAAATTAACTCTGCATCGTAGCTTTTGAACTTCCATAGGTTGTCCATTATTGGCAAGCCGAGCATCAGTCCTGTTCAAATGAACTACTTTATACTGCTGAATTAAGGGAAGAATCTGTATTCAAAAAATGATCATCATTACACTGGAGAAGGATGCGAGAGTTAATAGCAATAACAAAATAACATTTAGCAGAAAACCACAAACCTGATTATGGTAGTAGGAAATGTCAGACCAACTAATAGGAGCCATAGTATGAGTCACTCCTAACTCTACCCTCCTCTTTAGTCTTGGAGGTAGCTCCTTCAATATTCGAACTTCATCTCTCAAGGACATTATGAAATGATCAACATCAAATATGTCTTGAAATTCACTGCAAATAAAAAACTTCGTTAATACAAATCGCCATTTTTTCTTTCTAAAAAAAGAATTCAGTAATTAGAAAGACAAAAATTCAAGATAATTGAGAGGACACACCTTGGATCAGCCCAAAAAGAGGTTTTATCCAGCTCGGGAACAATAAGAGTCACATTCAAATATCTTGCTATAGCAACCATATCACAAATCTGCAACAAGAACAAGGGGGAGAAACAAGTGACAAAATCATCTCACAAGTCAAATTCACAACAGTTGTCTAAATTAATTACATTTGTATGTGGTATGTACTGATTGATCTAAAGCAAGCTACTAACCGCTGACCGCATTTGATTAAGCCCACCATTGCATGAAACCATGAGGTAACCATTATTCCTGTAAACCCCTGATTCACACAAATAATCATAACATCAGTCAGTCTGACAGACTCTTCAAATGAAGTCAATAGCTCTAAATTCAACGGGGAACTTCCAATATTGTAGGTCAGGAAACAGATAAACCATAAAAAAGTTGCACAACAATTTTGTTTTGGAATAAGGGTCACTAAAAGTTGGATTAACTTGAATAGACCACGTAGTGTATTATGTATTTTTAACTAAAATACTAAGCCAACAACTCAACCAATGAAACTACCGTCTACAAAAGTATACAGATTATAATTAACACAATATTATGTGAATCTTCCTTTTATTGCAAGGCCTCCAACTACAATATCCATAAATGGCATTAACCTATACTCATAAATAATTTCATATTCCCACGAAAAAGACCCCATTTTGATGTTTCCAATTAATCCTATGACACAACAAGCAACATGATCTCTAAGTTGTCAACTAAAGTAGGTGAAGAAACAAGTCAGCAGGACACTAACATGGACATGAAAAAACATAAGGCACACACGCCTGTGAAAAAACTTATACTTACTCTTTGGTGGAAGAACTCTAGCAGGGACCTCAGACGACGATTTAACAGCCAGTACTGCAGCTGATTCGTGAGAAAGACAAGGGGGCCAGCCTTTTAAAACTCTAGGACCCCAAGTCTCTCCAAATATCGTTAATTGAACTAAGCAAATCCATATAAGCACTGATGTTGTGATCCTTATCATCCATAACTTCATTCTAGACTTGGATGACATAGAACTTTTTAGTTTTTCCAAACGTCTTTCTGCTAAAGCTGTTACTTTTAGCCCCATTATGCCCAAATTCCCCCACCCCTACTTTCTCAGAACATTTCCCCTTACTATTCAACTCACAAGTTGTATTACTTATTTGTTTTCCTCAATCACTCATCACAAACAATCAATATACCAAAAGAAAAAAAAGTCACTTTTTTTGGGTAATGTAGGATCCAAAAATCAATCAAAATCCTACTTTTTTTGATACCCAGAAATGCTTTTATAAAAAAAGTTGAAGAAAGAAGATAAGGAGTTACAAAAATATAGAAACCCGAACGTCAATGAGAAATTTTCTCTTTCAGAAACTTGAGCAAAACATGGATTCTGAAACCTTCCAAAGACGATAGTTTCGATGAAGAGAAGAAAAATCCCTAACTCTTTCGCACCTTACAAGTATATTCTACAAAATGCGGCAATCTTTAACTGATCAGGGAAGCGAATCCCAATAATTTTGAAACTTTTTAAAAAGGAGAAATCAATAAAATACACTGACTAGCAATGAATGTGGAATACGTGGGGATATCTAGAGGAGTTGGTGTCAGGACGGCGGTGATGTTGCCGGAATGTTGAAAAGCCGGTGACCGGAGAGGGAAAAAAGAAATTTGATGAGAAAGGGAAAAAAAGAGAGAGAAATGAATATACAATTGGGTCGGTTTATGATGGAGTGAAGCGGTCATAATATATGGATCGGGTTTAACCCTTGGAGAGTGGGGTAGTTGTGACATGCCAAAAGTGATGTGGATATTGATGTTTAATTATGGTTATAATAAATGATAAAAATTAATACTTAAAATATGTATTAACTGCAGTTAAGTACTCCCTCACGTCAATCTAACAATAGTTGTTCATAATTAACTTGATATCAGTCACAAACTAGATTTTCAATAAAGAGTTTAAAATATAAAAAAATAAATATATAAAATAATTAAAAGAGATTTGATAATTACTATATATATTTCAACAATATATAAATAATATAATTTTCACCGAAGAAAGTTCAAATAAACCCTTAATTATAAGGTGACACCGCCATAGCTTGACAGATCCCATAAGAAATAATAAATAATAGGCTAATGTTATTATGTTATCCTTTGACTTTATTAAATATAATATTTTAAAAAATATATCACATAATATATAATATTTAATTAAAAAAAATAGACATTAAAAGGTAAAATATCTTTTAGTTTTTTAATAGTATTAAATAATTATTTTTAATATAATATAATAAATAACTATTATTAAACGAAAGTATTAACATGTACTCTACTCTACTTACAGGAAGAGCGTACGAATTGATATAGTAGAATCGTAGATGGTATCCCAAATGTGATTTTTAATTCGATATCCTCGTAAAATCTTTTTTATGTGTGCTTGTTTGTGATGTTAGCCTTATCTAGCATGTTTTTCCTATCCTGTTTAGCTTTTATAGATTATTATATTGGAATGAAGTTTAAGTTGTTTATATTTAAAAGAGAGTGATTATAGAATAAAGTATTTTATGTATTTTAATTGTATCATTTTTTATTATTATATAATTTTACATATTAATAATAAGTATTTTGTATGATATAATACAAATCAGTTTGAGTGTATTCTATGTATTTATGTGTCACACATGTGTTTGCTTATTCTTGTTATAAATTTAAATGTATTTGTAATTTATGCAAGACATACTAAGTAAAGTCAAATTAAAAAATACAATGAGATAAGTGTCAAAAACACACTCAAACTATACATTTTTTTTAGTTTCATACCTAAACTATTGAAAGTTTAAGTTTCATACCTATGCTATTTAAAGTTTGAGTTTCATACCTAATAAGTGATAGTTTAGGTATGAAACTCACACTTTCAACAGTTTAAATATGAAACTCAAAAAAACTGAATAATTTAAGTGCGTTTTTTTGACACTTTATCTCAAATACATTTATACATGATGACTTTCTTAAAATACCACATTCTCCTCACGATTAAGCTCTGTTTTTGTCTGTGCTTCTTTTTCTACTCCAGTGCGTGCAATAATCAACAAATGAGAATTATCGATTGTTTTTGGTTCACTTTAGTGATTTCTATTTCCATTTCCATCGTCAGATAGCCATTTGTTACCACAACAAAGATGGAACATTTTCTTTTTATCTATTAAATCGGTTAAATGTTTATGTTTTTTCGGGGGTTATATAAGTTAAATTTAACTTCAAATGCATGTTGAGAGGGTTTGGATTAGTTTACAAGGGGAGCTTTTGCAGATAGTCACTAAAAAATAGTCTAATTACTTTTCATAGTTATAGTTTGTTCATTACAAGTCATCGCTATATGTTATAATCACTTTTCATAGTTATAGTTTGTTCATTACAAATCATCGTTATATGTTATAGGGGGGATAGTGACGTGAGATTGGGAAAAAGGAGGAGAGAGACGAGTGAGAGGGAAGAGAGTGGAAAGGACAAAGAGGGAAGAGAGGTGAATTGTATATGTATATTTATCAAAGACTTGTATATATGTAAAACGTATACATACATACATACATACATACATAAATACATACATATATATATATATATGTAGCGAGTGAGATTGGAAGATGGAGGAGAAAGACGAGCAAGATTGAAAGAGGGAAGAAGGAGGAAAGTGAGAGAGGACAAAGACTGGAGAACGACGAATTGTGTATATATATCTGTTATATATATATATAACTGATATACATATGTATTTGTATATTCTGACGAGAGAGATTAGGAGAGGAAAGAGAGAGGCTAGCGAAATTGGAAGACAAAGGAGAGAGGATAATTATATATATATATATATATAAAACTGATATACATACATATTTGTATATTCTGGCGAGAGAGATTAGGAGAGGAAGGAGAGAAGTTAGCGAAATTGGAAGACAGAGGAGAGAGGCTATATATATGTGTGTATAATTATGTATAAACGTAATTAAAACTTAAGTTTCGTCAAAAACCAAAAGCAATCTATTCTACTTTTTATTTTAATTTAAAAATTATTTAAAAGAATCAATCCAAAAAAACTCATAATCTGTTCGAAGAAAGAAATAGAAAAGAAGAAACATTAAAAAAAACACAAATATAATGTCGAAAATGAATAAGAAATGCAAAAAGCCATGAAAATTTATAATCCAGGGTGGCCCATTTATTTATTAGTATTAAATAAATATTACATAGTTAAGTTGAACATGAGCGGTGTTGAAAATAAATAAATTGTAGGTTACACATGGCAAGGTGAGATGATAGTAGAACAACCTCCGTATCGCCCAAGTATAAGGTGATAGATTAGTGGACCCACTCAAATAGTCCACTGTCGACACGCACCGACGATGACGGAAATAAAATTTTTACATAGTTACTGGTGAGATTCAAACGTGTGAAATTTTAAGTATCAATTATTTCAAGGCATTTAGAATTATTTGGCTATAAAATTTTATTATGTCAAAGGTATTTAGAATATGTTATTTAATCACTTTATTTATTATTATATTTATATATACAATTTAATGGTGAAGCTAAAATTTCACTTAATAAATATTAAAAAATAAAATCGTATAAAAATTGTGGTTAATAACTCAATATATAATATATAAAATAAAATATTTTCGTTCTAATTATATAATATAATTTTTGAACGACAAATAAATATGGATGACACCGTGGTCCTCTAAATCCAATTAAAAAAGATCCTAACTATAACATGCTATGCCGTGACAGATTTGAATAGCAACCCACCTCTAATTCTTGTGTGATCATATAGTGCCTGCGCCACTCAAACCAGAATCTTGTTATTGTTTGATAATATTGTGAAGCTTGGACGTCATAGGCGAGTTAAGTGGGACTCATGGATTCGAACGAATTTAATAATTTTTTTAAGATTTTATATTCATATTAAAAAATAATTAAATATTTTTTCTATTTCATATTAATTGAATTTTTGAGATATTTCACACTCTTTAAGAAAAGTAGATCAAAACGTAAATTATCATAATTTTTCATTTTTATCCTTATTAATTATTGTCAAATTTATTAAACTCATCGAATTAAAAATTGAAATGAAGGGTAAAATTGAAAGAATATTTTAAAAATATTAATTAAATTAATTCGAAAAATAAAAAATATCTCATAAATTTAATTAATACGAAATGAAAGGAGCATTTATGAATATTAATTTGTAAATTCCTAACAAAATTAATTTACAATTATTAACGAAATTTTAAATCTCAAACTTTAATTCTCTTTTCTATAAAAAAAAATTGTAATTAAAGTTCTTATATCTTTGTTTTTTCTTTTATATCGTAAAACAATTCTCTCTGTTGGCTTTATTGAACCTCATTAAATCTTATTTCTTTTCGTCACATTTTATTAGTTCTTAATTTAATAGGCATCATAACGATAGTTGGCCCTGATTAAATTATAATATAAGTAATGTTTTTGTATATAAAAAAAATACATTACAATTATATGTTATTTTCTTATCTTAATTCAAATATCTCATTCCTAAATAAATTTCTCCCCCCCACAAAATTGTGTCGGTATAGACACATTTGGATCCCACCCGCACCGGCACGGCACTTTCGTATCCAAAATGTATCCTCTTATAATTTCAATTTTTCAAATTCTTTTATGTATTTTTTTCGAAACAAAACTCCTTTTATTATAACATGGAAAAAACTTCTCTCGAAAGATTTCTATCAACAATGAGAGAGAATATCTCATTTTTCGATGATTACTTAATTAAAAATTTACTTTCAGAAAGTCATTTTAGATTGTTGATGCAATTGTGTCTATAGCCTCTGAAATATGTAAAAAAAAAAAGAAATTGTCACAAGTTTTTCCAAAAGATACCTATTGAGAGTGAATATTAAATTTGATTTATCAATTTGTAAAATTTAATTACCAATATAATTAGAGTTAATCGTCCTTTGTGATTGGCCAACTATTACGAGGGAAAAATTACTCTATTTTTATAGTATACGAAAAACAATTTTTGTTATCATTACATTCAGAAATATTAATTATTTTCAACCTTTAAAATTTTAAAATAAATATTTTTATCATTTAATTATTAAAAACTTGATCGAACGGACTATTAAGTTTTATTTCCACCCGATAGTGTGTCGGTATCCCACCCCACCACCCCGCGCCGAACTCGTCATAAAAATGTGTCCCTTTTCTCATTGCAAAGAATGAACATAATTTGTTTTTAAGTGTCATTCATGCAAAAGGTACTTTTTATTATTATAATTTGACCTATAGTTTTATAGGACGTATGGATCGCGGTTTATTAATTCGAATGAATCCATCAGCTTTGTCATAAATTTTGTATTTATATTAAAAGAATAAAATATATAAATCTCTAGTAAAATTGATTTAAAATCCCAAACTTTCAATCCTGCAATTAAAAACAACGTTGAACTCTTCACTTATGTCTACAAATTAAAAGAACAGCAAGTTTTGATAGCCCAACTACCTTTAGTGTATATCAAATTATAAGGAGAAAATTAATCAGATATAATTAATGGTCATGTATGCAAATTTATCTTCGCATAATTAAGTTGATAGACCAACTACTTAGTGTAACATCAAATTAATGAGAAATTTCAGTCTAATCAGATGTATAATCAATGGTCATGTATGCAAATTTCTAGTC